TTGCTTGGTCAAACTAGAATAAACTATCTGATAGCCTTGAATTACAACAGTAATATGTAGCATTGGGTAAACTTTCTGCTTTGTAACCTGCTGTTACTCAGACATTATGAGGATTGATGTCTGAATTCAAACCATGTCAGTGGATCACTGAATCTTTTCTGGATTTTAGTCTGAACTGTAAAATAACTCTCTATGCCAGGGATAGGCAACCTTTTTAAGCCGGGGGCCGGGTTGCTGTCCCTCAGACAATTTGGGGGGCCGAAGCACCAAAAATAAATAAATAAATAAATAAATAAATAAATAAATTTAATAAATTTTAAAAAATTTAAAAATATGCATGCACACTCTCAGCCCCAGAAAAGCCATGGCAAAACCCCTGTGGAGATTTTGTCAAGAAAACCCCAAGAACAAGTAATAACAACAATAATCAATATCATCATGGCAGGGGGCGGCGGCAGCAGGACCAGCCTGAGGCCGGTCCAAAGGCCTCGGGGAGCCGCATCCGGCCCCCGGGTCTTAGGTTACCTACCCCTACTCTAAGCTGTTGCATGTATTTTGGGGATAGGAGCTAACATCTTGAATAGATCTTTTAAAGTCTGGGGGAAAACTGGACCAGATTCACCACCTCACATGGAAATCACCAGCTACCACTGCATAACTCACAGCACTTGAGGTTGGATCCAGATTCAGTAATGCTTACAGTAGAACCAGAGCCAATGCGGTGTAATGGTTTTGAGAACTTACACTAGGATTCTAGGAGACCAGGGTTGTTTTCCCTGCTGTATTTGCTACTTCTGTTGTCAGGATCCAAGCAACATTTTTCTTATACCAATGTATTTTCCATCAGTTCCCGCAACATTTTACCCCATAGCTTTTCCCCGTCTTGGTATATTTCAATTCCAAATTCTCATGCTCATATATCATTGCAGTTCATTTTGGTTTTGTTCCAGATTATCTCTCAATGAGCTTCATCTATCTCAAAGTATAAAAAGTGTGTATTTATCCTTCTGTGTATGAAGTGTAGAGATTTAGATCTTCTTGCACACTGATCCAGTGCTTTTAACAACAACAACAACAACAGCCCATTGGTCTTTTCTCCTAGGACATGGCTACAGAAATTTTGTTCATCCAGATCCAAATTGTAACTCCATGCAGCATAACCACATGCAACACGGTAAGGGATTATGAGCCTCCCTGTCCTAAGATCCCACCACTACTTCTTTCAAGAAGTGCAGTGTGGGTTCAGATTTAATTGTACTTGGTGTAGACTCATTGAAATCAATGGGATATAACCATAACCAACTCAAATCCCCTTGAATAAAATTGGTCTGTGGCTCTTCTAATCCCCTTTGTTTACTGTCGCCTTCCTAGTCACTATATGCTTGTGCATCTCAGCCGCTTCTCCTGGCCAGTCTTTTCACTTCCTACAGCAAATTCTAGGACACCATGGGATGTTGCCATCACTGCTAAAATGGAATCATAGCATTATTGTGTTGTGTGAAAGGACCCTTATACAAAGCCCTGGTCCACCACTCCTCTCTGAAACCAATTCAGGCAGCCAGTTAGTACAGTTCTGCCCGGGAACCCATTTTCTGAATCATTGCATAAGCAATTTGAATGGCCTGTCATGATGTTAAATCAGCTTTCTCCAACTTGGAGAGCCAACTTGGATCTTCCTCTATGCAGCATTTTTATGTGGTTCTCAAATGTGTGGAAGAGTTGAATTAAATCATTTCAAAATTATTTTGAAGAGAATTTCTGCCCAGAAACTCAAATGAGAAATTTCTGTCGTTCACACTACACATGTATTACATACTGAAATCTGTTAGCATTAAAATGCCTTTGTCTGTATGCCTGCCCAAAACATAGACCTCCTAATTAATATTAACAAAAAGGACCCTGATGTATAGAGGAAATGTACCATATTAGTGAACAACAGTTAAAAATAAATTGCAAAAAGAGTGTTAAATTTCTCATTGGAAACATAAACTACCAGCCAAAACAGCATATATTGCCAAATAAATCACCACCTTTATTGTATTAAATCTCTATTGCATATTGAATTGAAGATTTCTAGTTTATCCACAGCATGGAATCAGCAAAGCAGATACTTCGGAAGCTGTTTCAGTATTCTCTCGGCCCTCACCCCAGCTACCAATTTTAATTAATCAAGTAATGGATCATAAAAGATCTTTATTAAAATGCCAAGAGCTTTTGCCTCAATAGCAGAAGCCAGGTCCAGTCTTCTCTGAGTTTGCTCAATGCAAAAGCAAAGAATTTACTGCATCAGCTCCAGCAATCCTTTATGCCAGTTCAGTATCTGACTTCAGAGGAAGGCAAAAATCTATCTATGCCTTACCTCTCCTACTATCCTCTCTATCAAGGGGGAGAATAAAGATCATCTATGATCACTGTAGTGTTCATCTGACATTCAGAAGAATGGGATTTCATCACACCTTTATCAGTGACACCTGCAGTGACACATGCTATTAGACGCCAAATTATCCAGCATATTTTTTTCCAAATAGAGCTGTAGCATGTTGTCTTTGTACCTGGGCTTCTCTGTGAATGAATGTTGCAGCAGTCAGCCTTTTCCATTAGTAAATGCCTTTGAAAGTTTTTTTAAAAAGCACTGAAGCTCAGGAAGAATTTAAGAAAGTTCACACAGCAGTTCTGCAACTCTAGGTAGCTCTATACCCTGAAGCCTTAGCTCTCCTTTCATGCTGGGAAGCTGTTGTATAGAACTGAACTTTGATTTGCACCCTGAAAATTAACTTTGGTTTGCAGCCTCGGGCTGCATCCGCACTGCAGAAATAATCCAGTTTGACACCACTTT